ATTTGATTTAAACAGAAAAAGATAATGCAATTAGCATCTTCATTGAAAATATCTGATATTTCAATGTTATCGTCTTAAACATAGCGAGTGATAGAAAACATTTCTTCCCGGAAATCTTAGGTTCATTTTTTAATTCACAATTTAGATTTACAATATCTTGCTTAAAATATTCAGGCGCCAAATTAAGTGCACAAAACACGGCTTTGAAAAACTTGTTCGGCGGCGCCTTGAGTGTCAAGGAAGCGAGCAGAGAGTCATAATCGGACAGCCATTGTCTTGGTTGTAGACCTGGCTTTCATTGGACCGATGGCAAAGGCCGTCGTTAACAGTAGCACCTACGCCCACTCGACAATCAGAACGTCCTCTCAGAGCTATTCTCCACGCAATGCTACGGCAGGGAATACAGACTATGGACACGAAAAGATTCCCAATCAAATGGGATTTGTTCCACGAATAATTCAGTGTGCATAAAACTATAATATAGGAAACTCTTGAATATCGACGAATATAAGTAAATAATTGAATTACAGAATTATTATAAAAAATAAATAATAGTTTGTTTACCGTTTATCGTTTATTATTTTTGTAACATTAATAGTGCCTTAATTTCCATGTTAAAAGCTCATTTTCAGTATCAAAATAGATTATAACTACAATTGATGTTAGACAGTGAAAATATTAGAAAAGCGTATAGCGTCGCATATACAAATTGTAACCACGTGATCACACTGCTTTTCACGTCTCGTAAAATGGCACCTTAATGTTAATAATATTCTAAATAAAATGTACAGATACTTTTTTGACCATGTTATCTCGAAAACGATGGTGAGATTGTTTCATTCTAAAATTTTCATGTGTCCATAATCAATAGCGATTCCATGCCGGAGGCAACATCCAAGATACAGATCATAGATCAAACGATCGCGGGTGTGTCGCGTCCGTCACACGAAGCGATGGCGGTAATACCGACCACCGTGGAGTTTGTACATTGTGAGCTCGACGCAATCTGTTCCGTGGATCTACTCTGGTGCCATACTGGTAGCTCACTCGTCCAGTTCGTTAGCCAATCACGTAGGTACCGTCGTCGTCGTTCATCGTCATCCTCTTCATCCCGGGCTCTCTTCGAACCCGAGAGGAGCACCCACGAGAGATGCGATTGATACGACATTTGTTTCCTTCTTCTGGACCGCTCCTTCCTTTAGGACTACAGTTATTTCGCTTTTGTCATTGCTCTCATTGGTAAACTATCGTTTTGCGAAATGCTTTCAATCGAATCTTAACCTGTATGAATATATATTTATTTTGATAGTTGATGAAGTTGATTGATTCATTTTTCTCGTAAAATAATTTTTTGTAAAATTCATGATGTTTTACAAATTATATTTAATTTGAGTTACTTTTAATCATTTCTATACGTCGGCACTGTTCCTATCATCAATTTGACTTAAACAATTTACACATTAACAAAAATACTTTAACTTTCGGAATGAGTACCATGATTTTAATTGGGATGACATTACAATTTTAGACGAAGAAAAAAATGTTAAACAAAAGATTATATTTGAAATGATTTATACACATAAACAAAAACAAGGTTTAAATTTACAAAAAGAGGAGCTGCTCCTTAAACTTGAATTTATTAAATTTATTTGCAAAATCCTGATATTTCCATTCCTTATCACATTAATTTTTTCTCATAGCCCTAGACAACGTCACTTTCAAGATATATCAAGATACACATCAAATATATCATTACAATTGTAACTTCTACGGCTAACATAGATTATAAAATAATTCTAGTATTATCCATGTAAAATAATTGTTATGTCATTGATTAATCACTCAATTGCGACTACATAAAACAAGAAAAAATTTTTTAATAATTACATTTACACAACATGTACAACTTTATAACTTTATAACAACTTTATAACTCTGATGTATAAATATATATATATA